AAAGTATATTGTCTCTTATTAACAGAATAGTGAATGAACATCTCTCTCTTCTTATATAGTTATTTGAACAAGTGATGATCTAAAATTTGTTTTGTTGATTTTGTTGATCCATCTCTGTCTCAATCATGAATAATAGTCCATTGTGTTTGTGTATGTGTTAAGGCGACCTCGAAAACAAAAGACAATTTCATGTTTATAATTCTACTAATGCAAACTGTCTCGCCAACAAAATAGCACAGTTACAATGATTATCTTTCAGACACACGTAACATGTTTTCTGTGTTCTTATCAATAATGTACATAAATCCGATTCACATTAGAGAACAACTTTATAAGGAGATATGTGATCATCAGATAATTATCAAAACAAATGTTTTTTCTTATAAATGTTAAATATCTAAACAAGATTTTAAGACAGACGTATAGTGATGAATTTGAAGAGTTGAAAGAATAGAGCCTACGGCTTTTGTCTGGTGTCTCTGATGTTGATGATTTCGTTTCTTCATATCTGATATCTACTGTTGCGTGTTAACATCTGTTCACTTCCAAAGAATAAGAATCCATCATTTTCTTGTAGGCAAACAACCTGTTCTAACATGACTAGCACAAGCGTGTCGTTTTTACGGTCAAAAATCGTAACGCAGCAGTTTCTCTCCGAGTTTACCTATATCTGATTGTGGAAATGATTGTTCATTTTCTTCCACTGTGCATGTCTTTCTTTCCGTTTTCTAGCTGTGCGACGTACTCGGGCCTGTTTCTTAAAAAAACTTAAGTAGAAAATCTGACTTAAGTCAAACTTAAGTCCAAAAAAGTCTTTGTCTTTTTTGACTTAAGTCAGCTTTTCTACTTAGGTTTTTTTAAGAAACAGGCCCCTGAGCCTGAATATCGTGCCATAAGAAAGTGTTTCAATGAATAAACGAAACTTGTTGTACTTTCAGATCGTTGCGTTTTCTAGAATCATGTCGACCATAGCCGCCCTAGGTGGCTGGCTTCCATTCGCCATTGTCGCTTTGGTAGGCGTGCATCTTATGTCTTGCTGCAATCAATCATCTTGCTGTTTTTACTTTTCTTTAGTTCATTGTCTTTTTTTCTGCTACGTTCACATTGCGTTACCAACAAAAACGCCGTCGAGAATATTTGGTTACATTTATCTCAACAATATCGTTGTCTGTTGCACTCTTAACTGCCGCATTGTTACCAACAGACATTACGCTTGTGTCATTTATGAAATATCAGAATGGAACGTATAAAGCAAGTTCACAGAAACAAGAGGGGGAAAATCACACTAGATAGATTGTGTTTCTCTAGGATTGGGCACAAAATAAAACCGACCGTGATCATATACAAGAATTTGTGTTAATTGGCTATTATGGTGAGCGTCGGCATCACTCACTACAGGAATAATTGTTTTGGTTACTTTAGTGCTTTATGGTTTGATTATTGTACTGGCATTTTTTCTAAATCCATTCATGTATTTTTATTATGAAGAAAAAGAAGAGGATGAAAAAGTTTCAACAGTAAGATGATTCAGCCTTGTTCTATTGTAAAAGTAGGCGCACGTTCCCTATCTGCTAGAGATTCGATCCTCTTTCTCATAGAAGGCACAGAGAACATCAGCTGTGAAAGCCGTACAAATTAGAAGAATGAAATATATGGTGCACATCCTGAAATTGAAATTGGCGTTCACTTTTGCGTCGTATGTCACACGATTGATTGTCTTTTCTTCTTCAGCGGATGTGTTCAGCAATCAAATATACAACTGGCTTTTTGTTTTTTGTTTTGCTATTAATACTTATCGGGTAAGATGACAACGTGATTTCAGACTCTCACTGTGCGAAATTTGTTTTCTTATTTTTTCCAGCGCGTTTGTTCCTCAATTGAGTCAACTGCCATCCTCAAACTCAACCGACTGGGATCGTTTTAAATACTTAATAAACCATTTTGATAGTTCAAGTACGATGGCGTTTTACACACACACACACAGATATCTAGTATCGCTGTATGTTTAAATTTAGAAATTGAAGATTCGATATGTTTTGTTATATTTTCTCTATCATTGGTTGGCTTTATTCTCTCTTCTATTTATACGGTAATTAGGAACTCTAAACATTCCACATTGTGTCGAATGCGTTTTTCATTCAGAGTTATGGATCAATTGGTTTGCCACTTTCATTTATTAGAGGACGACAAAGTGCTAGATTACAACAAACAGAAATAGAGCAACAACGGACAAATAATCAAGATCAAATTCGCAGTTTGAAAAATCGAGTAAGTACATCTGGGATACTTCTCTCTAGTCTACATTCTGTTTTTACATATTTAATTTCAGTATCCTCGACATGTGTCAATGCCTGCTCATGAGAAACGTTTGTTAGAGGAGTTAGGTATGTCGTCCACGAGCTGGTACAGCAAGTTGAAAATCAACTCGCTGGCGTTGCTGTTGCAACTCTCTCTTCCAACATCAGCGATAAATGGCCGTTTAATGTTTAGAACAACAAGAGGCTGTCCTTTTGCGTAATGAAGAATTGATACGCAGTGTTCGTTCAAGTTTTCTATTCAAATGTCGTCACGTTTACAGACCACTTCAAATTGTTATCGGCATTATTTTACTGTGTATTGCTCTGTTAATATTTTTGTCATTATTGCTGAGCAAGTAAGTGTACCTGTTTGTTTCTCAGAATGTGCTTTTTTTAGTGTTGTTCATATTTTCTAGCATTGATAAATCAATTCATTTCGTTGATTTTAAGCAGATATTTGCCCAAGGCAATCGAACATTACCAAATCCATTGGATATTGTAGTCACATGGACAGGACAGGTAATTACTCTAACGAGCGACAGTAGCGGTTGCTATTTTACTGTGACTCGTTTGAATTTCTTTTCTTTCTAGTTCTATCCTGCTAATTATATTATTTTGTCATGCGTATTAATTTATATCATACTAACATCGTTGTATGGCTTGCAACAAGTTGGCATCTATTACTTTTGCATAAAAGTACGTCAGATGAGTCGGTTCAACCATGATTCTATTACTGCCTTTCTTCTTTAGATGTTTCGTTTCTCACGAGGTCGAACAAAGCCACAAGCATTACTTTTGCTGTGCTCCTTGTTTATGTTCATTGTTTTGGCCATTAACATATTCGTTTATCTCCTCATGCCGCAATATACAATATATGGAGATCAACGATATTTGACAGTAAGAAACATTTTCCTTGGACAAGTGTATATTGTCAACTTCTTTTCTCGTTGCAGAATGGAACTGTTGCTAGTAAACCGTGTACGCAGTTTGTTGATGCAAGTGAGTAGACATTGTTATCAGACAGTATAGAGTAGCCGCTCACTTTGGTATTTTTCGTGCAACAGATGTATTTTTATTTAGATGATTGTACAATGACTGTAATGGGAGGAATATTACTTCGATTTTTGTATAAAGTGTGGATATTCGGTGTTGCTTATTTCATCATATCATGGTTATATCTTGCTGTAAGTGAAATGTAGCAGATTCGGTTATCTGTATATTATTCAGTTTTCTCTCATATTTAGGTATTTCTTTTTGGTTGTCTATATAAAATCTTTAAACATCGTGAATCGAACATCCACGTGCATACTGTCGAGAATTTACTTGACGACGAAGAAGATGATCCACTCATCGATTCTTAAACCATCATCTCATACATATATTTTCTTTTTCTCAATTTACTTTTGTGTTGAACAGTGTGTGTTATTACAGAACTTGGTGCTCTTTGCTTTGTTTTCATTTCAGCATACTTGAATGAAAATGAAAGAGAGAGACGATATGGGATAAGATGATTGATCTCGCATGGAGAAATGAACGTGTACTGATTCGATGCTGTGTCATTTGGTGTTGTTTGCTTATGAATGACTGGCTTTTTGTATTTGATTCTCATTCTTTTTCTATGTGTTTTCTGCGATATTTGTTTCTAGTGATATTGTACAATATTTTTATGTCACCGTTGTTCTTTTTGTAAATATATACTGATTGTCTCGTTTGGTGATTTTTTCTGTTTGGGACGAAATGGTCATTAATCCCAGTGTGACTTTGCATCCAGTTTCACATTCTTATGCTCAGGTGTATCTGGTTTATGTGTTTCGTGGACGGTGGGATTTGTGGAAATTCTGTGGTTAAATGAGTGTGGATGAT